GTCTCTCACCTTGTCCCCTGAAAACCCCGCCTCGCGAATTAGACCCAGAGAGAGATGGAGTGAGTGAACAACCGAACCGATAGAGGATCGAGAGAGCGGCCAAAACCAGCGAAAGTGATGACAGGTTATTTTTCACCAGCCCTCCCTAGACAGCGCAATGCTGTTTTCTCTTCTCCTCTGACACATGGAAGATTTAATCTAGCCATCTCTGGGCGGCCCTTCCGCTCCTGTAACCAAATGAAAGCCATGATTACACACGTTACTGGCAGAGGGGGTCTGGAGGCCTCTGCGCCAAAAAAAGGCCAGAGCAGCAGATTCACTGGGCTCGGCAGGGTGATTCAGAGTGCATGTGGGTGCACATGTGCGGACTTGCCTGTATGTAAAACATTGTCTTTATTGTTATGGAGGTTTATTGTTTGTGTGCCAGGTGGGAGACATCTTGAACCATAAAAGTGAATCATTCACATAGGACTCGCACGCTGCTGCTTTATATGATTATTCAATAGCTTCCCTCCTCATCTAAATCTCTCCTCCGTTCCTCCCATCCTCTTCTGAAGGAGAACCGCTTTGAATACTATTACATGCAGTAGGGCACAAGCATAGGCTTCTATTTTTATATGCAATGTCATATGAGTCATAACAAGTTTATGGTGCTATATATTAAAAATTAAACCGTGTGGATGTCTTTAGAGACTCCTTAACCTGATGTATAATTGCTGTGACACATCAAAATATGGCACCACTCTTTCCATTCATGCAGTTACTTCTCAGATACAACATTTGTTGGAGATTTTCAAAGTGATTCAGTGGTTTCTGCAGTTTTGCCCCAAGGAGTCTCGTGACTGTCTCTTTAAGCGTCAAGTGAGTCCTATATCACTGCATGCAATATTTATTCTATTCCACTGCAAGGCCTTAATGGTTATTTTCCGAACCAGCTGAGTGCACCATAACTCCAGCGCAAAGCAGCAGGGAACATGGAAATCAGAGGAATATTTTATTTTTAGATAAGAATGTCTAATCTGAGAATGCATTCGGATAAAAGCCTCTCATACACTCAAGATGCCATGACTACGCAGTTTTATGTATGCAAACTATGATTAAGGTGATGTCACTGGCTTAGCAAAGCATTAATTTTTTTTAAGTGTTCAGTGTATGCATATGCCTCTTTGATAACTTGATTATGATTGTATCATCTGTATTCCAGGCTTGTGCAAAATTCAGAACTGAATCGCTCTCATTCTTTCTGCCCAAACCCTATAAATTTGGCCTATAAACAGTCAGAGTTTGCTTGCCAAACTTTGCTTTTCTAGATAGTTACATGAATTTCAATTCATTGTAATTGTACTTCCTTACATTCTAAATTGAATTGCAATTCTATATTTTGTTTGCTACTAAAATTCAAAATCAAATTGGAATTTAAAATACATTCTGAAAGGTAAACATCCATACACACCTTTCCCTTGCGGACACATAATAAATAGTTTAAAGCAGTGACACCATTGTACACCTTCCCTGTTGTCCTTGTACATCCCCGCTGGAGTGGACTGGAGCCAAACTCTTTTAAAATCATATTATTGAATCGCCTACAGGACAGAAACTGTATTTCTGATGAGCCACCAACAGGCCGCCAATAACAGACTAATGTGATTTGTCAAATTGCATTTACAACACTTTACATTCTTGATTGGATTACTCCCAGCAAAAAATTGGTTGCAGTCCTCTCCTAATCAAGTTAATCATCACTTTCACCTCAAAATGTGTAAAATGAAAAGAGAACAAGGTTCATTAAATATACAGTGCGCCAACCTCAAGTTTTAATATGATTAGTATCAATCTTTCATTTCAGAAAGGGAAACAAGCTTGGAGCAATATCGGTTATGCCTCCCAATCCTGTTTGGAATTGAAAACAGTTTAGCTCGGAGGATTATTTGCAGTCAATTGAATCTGTATTTAGTTACAAAACTGCGAAGCCAAGGCACCTCTGTGAGAAGCTTGCTTTTTAGTTCTCCATAAACAAACAATAACTAAAGAATGCTTGGAGTTATGGAGGCTCTCAGGGAAAACATGTCATTTGCAAGGTGATAAATATTTTAGTGTGCTAATTACTTTGGTTGTTAACTTCTCCTTTTGAGAACTGAGGTGTTTGCATGCTAATTGTTCTTTAATGACTGTGTACCGCGTAGTCTTACTCTGCTGGGAGGGATATATACTTACCTTGATTTTCTTTTTCTCATCATTTAGACATGCATTTTGTTATTATGTACTAGGTGTTTTCCCCCACTAGCAGCCAGGCATTGCGAGCCAGCTGGCACAAGCACACACACGGTTACGCTTAACATGTCACTGACACACCTCTCTCTCTCTCTCTCTCTCTCTCTCTCTCTCTCTCTCTCTCTCTCTCTCTCTCTTTTTCTTTCTCTCTCTCTCTCTCTCTCTCTCTCTCTCTCTCTCTCTCTGTATTTCTTTATTTACACCATTCTCGCTTCATGATGCGGGGAGGTGGAAGCACCTTGGGCAACAGAATGATGCAATGAGACCTGCGGGATGTGGAGTGTGACAGGACATTCCTCACAGGGAAGCTGTCACAAGACAACATCTGTCCTGACGCTCCACTAACCTGGCTTTCATTGTTCATCTACAGCATCAGGCAACTGTCATATCTATCTGTCTGTCTTTCTGTCTCTATCTGTCTATCTATCTGTCTGTCTGTCCGTCCGTCTGTCCATCCATCCTACATGATCTCTAAATGACCTGCATCAGGTTATGAATGTGCTACTCTAGGCCTACAATGATTATTTAAGTTATATGGTTTCCAAAATGTGATTTTGTTTGTTTGAATAGTTATAATAAAAATCGTTGCCTTCATCCTTTTCATCCAACTAATCTCTGTAATTTTGGTTCAATTTTCTCAGTTGGTATAAATTCAAAGTGATCTGAAGTGTACTGTGTTGAATGTATAACTGCATTTTTTAACGTTCAACGTGTTGATTTTTACTTTTAGGGCAATTATGGCAGAAATTAAACTTTTCAATTTTAGTATTTTTTTTTTAATAACAGTGCACCACTGCAGTCTTGTGGGTTGCTGACCTCACTAAAGCTGTGCCTACAGCTCACCATCTCTTCTTTAGGACATTTCTTTTGATAAAGTAAATAGGTGACATGCTGACTGCTGTCCGCTCCTGTTGAGATATAGTGGTGAGATACAGGTGGTGAGATACTGTTTATTCTCTTTGCTTTCACCGTAACAGCAGGTGTCCATACAGTGGTGTGCACACAAAAATATCTGTGACTCAATTATGTGTTTTTATTTATTTTAATTTTATTTGATTTATTAACTCATCCATTTACCAGCTTCAGGTCTGATAACCAAAAACAGTTCCCCTTCATAGGATGGCATCAAATTTAATGAACTCTTCAGCTCCACTCATCATACATGCTTTGTTGTCGCGGTTTCTTTCAAATGTCAAGCTCGTCCTCTGTTCTTGTTTAGCTCGCCATGTCCCTTTTTCTGCTAAAACCTGCTCAGTGATCTCATTTATTAAATGTCATGTTGGAACTGCACTGGCGCAGAATGAGTGCCGTCAGAAAAATGAGACTCGCGCGGGCCTCAGACGCCACATCACATCAACATATTTCAAAGTCTGGGCGAAGCATTTTGAGCAACAGCATATGCTCCCTAAATTGTGTGGCGTAAATATACTAAGGCTTCTCCGTGTATTCACAATTCACCATCGGTTTTCATGAGGAAAATGTGGCAAAGATTGGTGGGAGTTATAGTACGTCCGAATATTACAGTCAGCTGGAACTGTAATATGATATAGATTTTTCTATTGATTGAATTAACGACTTCCATTAGTGTTTTACATTTCTTTAAAATTATTTTAAATTTACCAAAAAAAGCTATCATCCGTGGTTGCCAGAACTTCACTGAAAAAAAATCAACGTTTCAAGCGTTATGGGATGAATTCTGCATGTGTATTTTACATTTCACAACTATGTCATTAACTAACATACCAACTTACTGTAGGCTACTTGAACTATTAAAATCTGCTTTGTGGAATATAGCAGATTGTACTGGCTTTTTTATTTATTTATGAACCATAGCCAAAAAAACATACAGGCCTAGACAGCACAGTAGCCTATTATAAAACACCATTTCAAATGAACTAAGCAACTAAGTAAAAAAAAAAATATAACACCCTTATGAAGTAAATAAAACATATGCTAATAAAATGCGAAAGACTACTATTTTCTTTCAGGAATGTATTTTTTTACTATTTTAAACGGGTTATAGCAGCAAAACATAGTTTTCAGACTGTTATTTTTTGTTAAATGTGAATAAAATGTTGATGCAAATAAAGTATAACTATGGCAGTTCATTCACGTCTTCCTTTACATTTTATAAGGTAACCAATTAACACCTGTTTACTGTAGCATTTTTATATCATTTTTCTGTAAAAATAACTTTTTGTAACAATAGTCCTCCCTGCTTAAAGTTGGCTTGTCCATCTGTAGAAGAGTGTCTAATCATCACTGCTTTCGTGAAGTGTCCTTATCTGAGCAATAGGAGTCCGATAGTGAGCAAAAACAACTTTGTGAACTTCTTCCACCCGGCGTTCGTGAAGACAACCTCCGCGGTGTTTCCGCGCGCTCACAATCCATTCATCTTGAGTAGTATTTTAACATTGCACGGAAGAACAAACTGCGTCCTTGTGTCCGGTAGTACGATGACAAAATAACGCGCCCCCATTTTCCGAGGATCGGGGTGTCATCCCCTTCTGTCTGCTGAGAAGAGTCCACCTGTAAGATACTTCTTTTGAGGGGTGGGACCCCACCGGCGCTGTCACGAGAAGAGGCGGTCCGTGCACTGGCTTGGAAAAGGATTGGAAAAGTAAAGACCGTCTCCTGCGCTGATTGGGGGCCCGGAGGGGAGAGCGAGGAGGGCGGGAGGACTGCGTTCACGAGCCTTTTGTGTTTCACTTCTAATATCTCACATATCAATAATTGAGCGCGCGAGCAGACGGACTCCACGCGCTATGTATTCTACTGCGCGCGAGCTCTGTAAGGGCCTTGATCCGCTTAAAGTCGGCTCTTCCACTACGGACTGAGACGGGAACGAGGGGGAAGCTCTTGTAGTTTTGACTTGAACTGTTTGGAAGGACTTCGTTTTACAGTGAGGACAGGTTTGGAGTGATTTTGGTTTGGGATTTGAGCGCGCTGTGTCTGTGGGAGAAGACTGCTGTTAGGTGCGGAGTGAAGTTGGCATGATGTTGACGTTGGTGCTAGGCGCAGTGTGGTTAGTGTGCCATGCATACGCACAGAACGAGACAGAACCCATCGTACTGGAGGGGAAATGCTTGGTCGTGTGCGACTCAAATCCCACCTCGGATCCCACTGGGACGGCTCTTGGGATATCGGTGCGCTCGGGAAGCGCCAAAGTGGCTTTTTCCGTGGTGAGGAACACGAACCACGAGCCGTCGGAGATGAGCAATCGAACAATGGTGATCTACTTTGATCAGGTAAATTTTCACTGTAGAAATGGGCACTTCTTTTGTTTGATTACTTTTTACGCGTTCGCCGGTTGGGAATTGCGGGAGGATTTTTATGTCACAGTTACAAATACAAACTAGATCACACAATCAAAGAAATATCGCAGCAATCAAACATTTAACTGATATGTGTAGTCTGGGGAGGTGTCACATTCCCTTCCACTTCGTTAAAGGTCAATTACAGGCTAATGGCTTTCAATTATATCTAATAGCCGAGAACTTCTTTGTCGTGTCATAAAACTCTTCTCCATCTCCTCTGTTATATATAATGAATCACGAAATGCTTTAAACGGTTTGCTGCTTTACACTAGCGAGTTTCCATTGTAAAATTTCAAGTAAGAGCCAAGACGTTTTTTAAAGAGATTTTACGCATTATTTGACTTCCATTCTGATGTCTGCATCCTCCTTCAGGTACTTGTGAACGTCGGTAGAAGTTTTGATGAGGAAAGGAGCAATTTCTTCGCCCCGCGCAAAGGGATATATAGTTTTAATTTCTACGTAGTGAAAGTGTATAATCGTCAAACGATCCAGGTAAGTGCTCATACCTTTATGCTCACCAGTCTCTGAAGTGTTCTGTGGTGCGCGTGGGACAGTAAAGTGTGTGGGAAAATGTGGAATTTTCAGTTGTCTAGAGGAACGTTTTCTTTTATTCCCTCAATTAGCACGAGATTAACAACCAGCCTAAAATTTGGCGCGTAGACAAGACTGGCGCGTGTTCAGGACCATGGACATGGAACGCGCGAGACAGATTCGCCTCCTGTTTTTGTTGAAATCTGCACAGCACAAATAATACTTACATATATAAAAAAATATGTAGACTATCTTTGGCTAATTAAAGCGCAGTCGCTGTCTTGTTTCTCGGAGATTTGACAATTACATCCCGTTATTCCGCTCTGATCGGCGACTGAATTAGAAGCAAGTTAAATCACACATATCCCTGTTCATTACTGAAATGCACTGAAACACTGACTAATTGAAGACAATGAGTTGGAGTTGTGTATAGGACACACACAAACAAATATAAGATGAGACGATACATATATTGAAATCAACGCTCTAATCCAACTATGATCATTTAATTAGGACGAATAATACAAGAGAAAACAGGTGAATAGTCTTGCATTGGAAGGCCTTTTTAGTTATGTTATTTTTTACGGTGCTCACAGGTATTACAAGAATTATATTTGTACCTTATACATTTATTTATACCTTTTTATCAGATGCAATGATTTTGCGCAAAATCAGGTCAGTAGTAAATGAGGAGCTTATGGGCTATTAGGTTATGCTGTGTATTAAGTGTGAAAGGCTTTTTAAGACAGAATGGTGTTTTCAATTGATTGTTTTAAAATAAAAGTATTGTCCTAATAATGCTTAGGTAATTCATGTGTCCAGACCAAACAGAAAATGTTTTTGTAATTTTTAAAGCATATTATCTTGCACAGATCTATAATTGATTTAATGCTGGTTTTTGTATAGTCCTTTGTTTCAATCTGTTCAAGTGCCACCTTTTTTTGTAAACAAAGTTGTTCTCAACTCCTTCCATATTTTTGGCTGGAGTAACACAGCTGACTATGTGTGAAATATTTTGTTTATCTGGCAGAATAAATATTTCATTTGTTGTTCTATCTACATTCACGCTTAGTACTTCAAAGAAAACATAAATTCCACTCTGTTGATCTGAGAGGGAGGAGCAGGCCTCTCTATTAGCATGCAGAACATATGATAAACACACACACACACACACACACAGTGATCTGAAAGGCTCCATGAATAATCCAGCAACACACATAGTACCTGTATGGATCCCAATCAATTGCTTGGAAGTAAGACTGCATGCATTGGGTGTACATATATCTTATCTATTTTATTGCAGTTTCTTTCAGTTTAAAACCTCTGGTCATATCCATATAGTCAATTTTATATTGTGTCACAGAGTAATGTACTTCAATACCCAAAGGACAAGTCCATCTGACAACATTGGTGTCTGATGGGCAAAAGCTTTTTAAATTCTGGTCTGGTTTAAGTGTCACAATTAAGTAATCACATTCTCTATTTAAAATTCTAGTCAGTTGTTTTCATTATAAGTTAATTGTGTCATAAAACTCACAAACATGATTTAGTTAACACATATTTTGTTGTCTTTGGGGATACTGACACAGACTGAGGAGTCAAATTGTCACAGAAAGTTCTTCTCATACAAAGCTTAAAGCAACAATTTTCAATAGACAAAGCAGCAGACAGCCATGCATTTGAATATTGATTACTGCCCATATTTTGTGGAGCACAATTCTCTTTGAACCCGCAGATGTGACAGACGGTAATTAAGAAAATTACTCTCTGACCTAAAATAATGCCCCTGTAAATAGATATGACAAAGGAGGAGGAAAAATATTTTGTCGTCTCGCTTGTGTCCAACCATTATGTATGACTGAGACAGGCAAAGGGACTGAGAGAGAGAGAGAAAGAGAAAGAGGGGGGTTGTCCTCCATCGCTTCACTGCGTCATTTGGACAGGAAGCTGTCTGTCGGTTCAGTTCAATGCAGCATTAAATTGTGTGTTGAGATCCGTTCACATTATCTCACATCTTGTTTTTGAGTTCTTCCATACAATGGCCCACTTGTATGTTTTACATGTACTTGAAGAATGAGGATGGAATTAGAATTCCAGGGCCTCAAAGCTGGAGGTTTGTTTTTTGAAAGGTTAAAGTCAGCCGAAAAAACGATATAGAGCATCACTTGGCATTCTGTGAACAAATGCATTGAGTCATGATGAGGGCTTGTTAGTGGTGAGCCTTTTGTGGCTTTTTATCTCAATGTAAGAGTGGTTTCTCATTGTGTAACAGTGTTTTTGCTATTTTAACAGTGTTTTTGCAGTGTTTTTGTTATCTGATGGTCATGCACAACATTCAAAGGTGACTTTCCAATAATCACAAGTTAATTTCTCCCTGAGAGTTCTTAGTGGTATCAAATGTCATTTTTGCCCTTCTTCTGGCTCTGTCTGAGCATGGCTGGCATAGAAAAACAGACACAAATAAAGTAATGTGCCATTTTCATTTCCCCTGGCAAAGGCCCATAAATGCTTTTATCAACTTTTATGATTTCATGAGGAGCTGTCTACTATATTATCAAGGGACTTGTCAGCGAGCAAAAGAAAGGGAACAAACATGTATAGATTATGCATGTTATTGTTGGTTAGAAGATTAAAACAGGCTTTGATTTATACTAATAACATTACAGTTTCCTGTTGTCCCACTGGGGTTTTGTATGTGTGTTTTATTCAGCCGAGCAATACCTGCTTAGTAATTTATATGCTCAATTGTTCAAGAAAATTCACTTTTCAGTTTCTTTAAGCAAAATTAGACAGACAAAAGAAAGTACGTCCTTTCGCACCAATGGGATTCGACCAGCTAATCTATATGCTCCCATGTTACAGGTGAGCCTGATGCACAATGGCTGGCCAGTGATCTCCGCCTTCGCCGGGGATCAGGACGTCACACGCGAAGCGGCCAGTAATGGTGTTCTGATTCAAATGGAGAAAGGTGACCGCGCATACCTCAAGCTGGAGCGAGGCAACCTGATGGGTGGCTGGAAGTACTCCACCTTCTCCGGCTTCCTGGTCTTCCCTCTGTAGAGGAGGGGCATGCCACGGAGGGACTATTGCTCTTTAGCTTGCCAGCTTGTGGGAGATAGAAGGGGATATGAGGGCAGACGAGAGATAGAATGATAGCGAGAATGTAAAGAAAATATATAGGAAGAGAAAATTTTGTGTGGCAGGCTCTCAGTTGCACTCACTTTGCTCTGCTGCTTGACTACAGCTCTGGACAGCCAAAACTTTTTATTATCCTTATGATAATTGAAATAATATGGAAAGAAAGCACACCGAGGATCGTAGCCCTTCCCACTGCCCTCTTACTCATCTCATCACAGTCCACCCTCAAAAGTCTTCATCTGCTTTAAGGATTGCCCTTCAATAGTACAGACCCCCATTTCACACAGGTCACATCGTTGTATATTCTCTCCATACGTACATACTGTGAGCCTCAAATGTCATTGTCATTCCTCTCAGTCCAGTCGCCCCTTCTTTTCTGGCTTCCTCCAGCTCACCCTTTCTTGTCTCTGAGAGGGTGTCTTTGCTCTGTCATGACTGAAGGATCTCTGAATCCCTCGAAAAGACTGCATACTGGATCTATACATATATAAATACATAAAAAAAGTTTCTATATGACTATAATATACTCAATGCCTAAATGAATCTGGTCAACTGTATTTCTGTATTTCAGTGTTAATACTTAGTGATTGTGTGTGGATTTTCAGGCTGCTGTCCAACTACAAATGCTTCTAGTTTTTGTTTCGGTCAAAAAATGTGGCTAAGATGAACTATATCAGAAATACTATAAAGTAAAATGTTTTATTATCATTGATTGTAAGATATATGTGAATATTTAACAGACAAAATCCTCCCTTTTAATCAATTAACCATTGTTTTTTTCTTTGATTCAATAAAAATTAAATGGTACTTTTTATTTTTCTTAATCTGATTCTGTGCTTTTGAAATTTTAAGATTGTCGCCTACATGTTTTACAGAGCTACAAACACAAATCATTTCGCTAAAATGACTTCTGACAAAGCTCTGTGTGTGTGTGAGTGCAACAGAGACACAATGACACACTCTCAGTGTGTCTCATTGTGCTCTCTCATGATGTAGATATACTTGGCTGGTCTCTGTATCTGTCTCTGTCTCTTTCTCTCTCAACCGGGTGATTGGGGCCTCTCTCTGCTGCACTCATGGCTCTAATGAGCTCCTGGGGGGAAATTAGCGCTTGCATAATAAGCAAACCCCACTGTTTACACAAAAATCATGTTGCGTGTACATCTTTCCTACTCTTTTTTTCGTTTTTACTTTTGCTTTTTCCTTGAGGCATTTCATACCATGAAAGGGATTTTTAATCCATGTGATTCTTGGCTTCATTTGATGACAGTCTCCATCATCCCATATTTATTTTAGCTGTACCATGCACAAGAGCTGTAACCAAACTAAAAATACTCATAATTGGACAGAAAGGTTGAAATCGAGTCATATTTGTATTTGCATAATAACAAACACAAAAACGGAACCAGAGATGAACCCTCACCCTACCCTTCCAACATAGCAACAGGACCTCAGCGTTCTGACAGGCGACGCTTACCTCAGCAAATTATATCGCTATCACTTCACAATGCAAAATAATGCTGCGTTTGAGGGCCCTCTCAAGAAAACTTGCTGCTTCAGTGCTCACCATTCTGAGGATATGAAGAGGGTGAATAGACAAGTGTTGAGCTGTGAAATGTTAACACCCCACCATAGGAGTCGTAGTGTCCCTGCTGGTCTGTGCCCAGACAGTACATGCCCGTTTAAAACCACTCATTAGTGTCTGCACACTTATCGTTTGTCTGAGCAGAACTATGGAATGAGAGCGGAGGGGCATGTGGGAAGTGAAGGGGAAAGGAGAGTGAGAAAAAGATACATTTAAATTAGGCTAAGTGGTAATTATGGCATGTTGATGTTTAAGTGCAATGCAGATTTTTAAGTTGTGTTGTTACGGTTCAAGATCAGTCTTTACCATTTGTTTGAATATTGCATTACATATTTAACAGAGGCTACTGAGTTTCCTTGTCCTGCAAAGCTTGACATAAAATTATAGTCAGAAAATGGAGTATAAAAGGCAATCTATAAAAAAGGTGTTTGATGTTTTGTATCTTATTTGAAACATCAGGCTTTTATGGTCCATATAGTATTATATACAGTAGCTAGTGCGAATATGGAGCTCACACTCAAGGAAGAAAAAAGGTTAAATTATAAACTTTATTACAGAGGCCCAAAACTAAGTAGGCTAAATATATGCAATTTTGTGCAGTTGTTATTTATAAGGCGAAAATGTAATGTAAATCAAAGAGATTACTAACACTATAATAGACTACTTACATAAATTGCAAATAAATATCAGTTGTCACTCTGTATGTCCCAAAAATATCTTAGTAAGATGGTATTTAAATGCTTAATTTTATGACCAAATATCTATAGTTTTCATTTTAGGGGGCCAAAACATATAGAGATGTATAATTAAATCTTCGTCAAAAGCCTGTTGTATAATATTTGATAACTACTGTACATACATTTTTTTTATTTTTCTAAAAAAAAAAAAAAAATCTGCATGGATAGTCAAGTTCAGTATCAAATATGATTCAGTAGGTTTTATAGAGTTAGGTTGCTCACTGTCAGTGCATAAACTTGTTCTTTATCTTAGTAAGTGCTTATGAGTGCACTATTGAACTCATATGACTGACCAACATTTATTACACTATTAAATCAGCCATAAAATAAAAGTCATCAGATAAAATGTGAAGTCAATCATCTGGATTTATGTCGGCGTGTGAGCGCGGTGTTATGGAGTGGGGTAGCCTAAAGGCCGCGCGAGACACGCCAAATGTTCTCTACTGTGGCACGTGCCAGGTGCCTCTCTGGGCGCGAGCCTGGTCCGTTGACTGGAGGAAGGCGCGTCATCCATCTCTACTGCTCTGACTAGATTCCCGGAGACCTCGGCCTTTATGGAATTACATTTCTGCCGAAATTCTGTGCGTTCTGCACGCGCGCGAACTGAGTTTTGTGGAGAAAATGTTTGTCTCGCAAAGAAGAAAGTATTTCGAGCGCACGAAAATCAATTTTGCATTTAAAATAAGTTTTTGGATGTATGCAGACCTTCTCTTCTGCGCCTGCAACGTTTCACTAGCTTGCTCACCTGATGCCCCCCTCTGTGCTCGCTAAATGCCAACAGCTCAACACAACCCAGCGTTACAATGTGCCATAATTCCAGCCAATCAGAGACCGAGGCTGCTAAATTCTGATTGGCTGCCTTGATAACCACTCACAACATTACCTCGACAGCAGAAGAGGAAAAATACAGTGCATGCATAATTATTATGCAAGTTGATATTCTGATTATATTTTTTTCCAAGCACATTTTACCAATAATTATAACTACTATTAGTCTTGTATTTAATCACTTATAATCTATATATTATTGTTCATGAAGGCTGGAAGTGAAAATCGCCTTATATTCAGGTGATCTTTCGCGCGCAGAATTGTGGCAGAAATGTAAGCCCATAGGCCTTCGCGCATTACGGCGACGCGAGAGCGACCCATAACGCCGAAAAACTACCATATGGTGTCTCTCCTGGAAGTGAGTTTCTGTTTAAGATTGACAGAGGGGGAGATTGAGGTGGTAGCACTACATGAAGGGAGAAAAAAGAAGGTGGTTTTTTGTTAAAGTGCACGGGTGACTGGAAAAAAGACTGCGTGACATCAAAATGAATAACTACGTTTCCACACTGTAAAAAATTATATGATGAAAAAGCCATGACAACTTATGTTTTTAAGTTACTTTAACTCATAAAAATAATTTAAGCAATTTCAACTTATTTTTATTAGTTATACTAGATTCAACTTGATTTTTTAAGTCAGTTTAATGTTACTGAAATTCAAAGAGCTCAATTTAGTTCAGTGAACGTAACATTTGAAGTTGTAGCTTTTTGGCACTAACCGGCCAAATCTCTGAACATGGATTCATGCGCAGGGTTCAAATTTGTACACGAATTTAATATCAGAGACCTTTCCTAGAAAAAAAAAATATTCAGCAAATCTAGACAGTAGACTCGTGTTTAATACATAAAGACATCGCAGTGCAACATCAAACAAGGAGACACGGCAGTTTCAGCAGCCCTTGGTGTTTAAAACGCATATCTTGAGTGGTTTAACGTCTCAATCAACTTGCAGCACATATTTGCATCGATTTTCAACCGACTTTGAGTACATTGTTACATTCCTATTACCAACTGTTAGTAATTTTTACTGTTATTTTCTGATTTTAAAGGGCCATGGTGAGACACTTCATACACACAAGAAGGGCGTGCAAGCTGGCCTCCTAATACGAAGACTACGATGGTGCACTGCAGGACACCTTTCTCCTTTTAAAGGACTGTAATGGACATGTATGTGTGTTTTTTTCAAGCTTTTCTCAGTGGTTGTTTCCCAAGAGGTATGAGTGTATTTTCAGCTTTGTATGACAGTTTCTTGGCAGTTTTTTGCTACTTTTGTGCCCTTGTTGTATACATATACTGGCATTCACACATTAGCATGCACAGGCAGGTTGTGTACTGTTCTTAATATTAAAACCCTGTTTTTTCTCCTTTTAAATGTTCAAGAAAAAAAAGGACTAATGGACATGTATGTATGTTTGTTTTTTTTTTCAAGCTTTTCTCAGTGGTTGTTTCCCATGACGTGTGAGTGTATTTTCAGCTTTGTATGACAGTTTCTTGGCAGTTTTTTGCTACTTTTGTGCCCTTGTATACATATACTGGCATTCCCACCTTAGCAGCACAGGCAATCTGGATCTAAAATAAAGTTTACATTATCATAACTAGAAAATTTATGTTAAAAATTTTTAACTTAAGTTGAAACAGCAAATATTGCAAATAATAGTAATTATTATTATTGCTATTAAATAAGGAACTGGTTTGGACTAATATGTTTACAACGAATGCTTGAAGCTCTTTTTAAATCCGTTTAAACGCTGTTGCATTACTTAAATTATTCGTCAGAATTGTAATTGTTTTGATTTTGTTTATATTATTTGTAGGGCCTACTCTGACCAACCACACACAATTTTTATTTGCCCTTTATTTGAAGCTCATTTCCACCTCAGGATAGAACTGTGACTTCATTTATCACAATTTTGTCTTTAGTTATATTTTTTAATTATTTTACTTGTTATAAAATGTTATGTTAATTTTTCTTGTTTCACCATGTTTCGAGTCAAAGTGGGAAAAAATGTTTTTAAAAGTGTAGCCAAGT